TTTCTCTATTCTTTCTTGGTGAACAGTCACCTCCTTTTTTTTTACTTCCTTGTACGAAGTAAAAAGGAAGTATTGTAATCGCGAAAAGTTTCAGGCAGCATATTTCAACGAAAATATCCATTTTGACTGCTATCGAATACAATTTAACGATGTTTTGCGTGATATCTGTACGTAAGGACTGAATAAAAGACTCGTTTTCTCCAAAAAAATTATAAAACTGCTTTAAAATGAATTCTGAAGAGAATTTTTCGTGGCGTCTGTACGAATTTATGTACGTACGTACGTATCTCGCATAACTCAAAAACGAGTGGCCTCAGAAAGTTGAAATTTTGAATATAGGACTGCTATAACATGTAGATGTGCACCTCGTATTTTGGTTGCAATCGGCCGCACCGAACGTATATAAATATATTTATATATATATCCACTCTGTTACCCGGCTCGTGATCTCAGTTTCATTTCTTTACTCTTATATGTTTGTAAATTGTACATTTTTTGTTTTAAAAATGATTGAATTATGTCGTTCTTATCTTCCGGTTAAGGTTTTTATGCCTTTAGGAAATCTGCAAGCAATATTGTAGAATTATCAACAATTTAAAGGCTGTTTGTTGTTTGACTTCTGAATTAGAATTTAAAGGCTGTTTAAGTGCGGTTAAGTCTAATTTTTAAATAACATGGCGGACATGTTTGTTTACATTCAGAATAGAAGATTTGTTCCCAATCTAGAGAAACGCAGCTTTGCAACAACAAAGATAACGCCTTCATTTATTATTGCGAATTAAATCATGCTTATCCTTTCTGGAATTTTTTCGAGGAAATAAGTGTTTAAAGTTTACTTCGTAATTTTTAATACAGATATTTTGAGTTTTTATATATTTTTGCCTTGTCGCAAAGTGAGAACTGAATTAATGGAATGAGAAATACTCAATCGTCTGTGAAAATCTGTTGCTTTTTTGTTTTGTTTGCTTAATTTCTTTTATACATTGTTCTAGCTTTATTATAGTATTTGAATAGAACATGTGGAAACGATAATTCTTCAAATGATATAAATTTTGTGCATTCAGAGTGTCCTTATAGTAAACAAATATAGTGAATTTTAAAGAGTGCATTTATTCTATTATGGTTTATGCGCTGTCGACGAAGTAGATTTAGTTCAATCCAATCAGTTTAAATGAAATTTAAGAAAAAAATGCGAATAATTTAATATTCCGTACAAGGAAGTCATGTGGTGTACACATCAGATTTTCTTTATTTATCATGTTGAACAAGCTACCTATCTTAATTAAAGAAATAACAATTAGAATACTCGTAAATCATAACAATTAAACAATTAAGTTAAAAGTTTTATTATCAATTTTTGGCAACAAGAATGTTAATTTACGCATATTGATATATATTGTATCACTGAAAGGCTGACTGGCTGACAATTTTGAATTTAAGAAATTTCCTTTCTGCCCATTAGCCAATCGTAACTTTTCTCTGTTTTATTTAGGTATAACCTTTGTAATAAATATAATTCACCGTGGTTAACTGCATTATATTTTGCAAAAAATTATTTTTCCACTGATATACATCTTCACGGGATTTCTTTTTCAAATAACGAAGTTACACGTATTCAAATTTTAAAAATAAGCACTTTCCAAAATACAGTAGAACTCCTATTATCCGAATCAATTGGGACCAGACTCCATTCGGATAATCGAAAATTCGGATAATATGATTTTTTTCCAAAGAAAGGATCTACGTACACTTTTGTTATCTACTGTCCGTACTGTATGTTGAAAATGGGAGAAAAAAATATTTTTAAAGAAAAAGTGAATTTAAAATGAAACAGCAACACTTTTACGTACATGTTAGATAACATACCGTACAATACTTACAAGTGCTGAAAGTCATTGCTTGTTGAACATCTCGATCAAAGTAAGCTGTTTGACGGGTACCGTGCCTGCCCTTAAAGTTTCTTAAGACAGCCGTTACATGCTTTAAAGGATGACCAGCCAAGCCTCTGAGTTAAGATTTTAGCTTTTTGACAAAGACATCGGACCAGAAATTGGGTTTCCCACAGACCGTTGTTACAAAAACCACTTAAAAACGACATCTTCTAAATTTGTTTTTGTTGCTGCCTTCATTGACTTTCTTGAAGAACTACCATCTTCGTTTTCAAGCAGTGGCACGAAGTTTAAAAGTGTAGGTTTGCTCCTTTTAATGTCTGAAATCGTTGATTGTCCAAACACTATGCTTGTGTCTTAATTTTTTTCTTAAATTCTGAAAGCGATTCGGATAGTTCGGATATTTGGAGTTGTACTGTCACAATTTTAGCCAATTTTGGCAATTTTTTTTTATAGTGTTGTCCAAATGTTGCTCAAAGCCATCGAATGCTGAGAGGAAGATTAATGGTTAAATTCCTGCGGGTCTAAAGTGATGACCACTTGCTTGTCTACGATATTTTTCGAAGACTTTGGATGCTATAACGATGCGGAATCTTTGCATAATAGTATAATTCTTTATAGTTCTTTATCTTAGCGCAGTAGAATAATACGTGCAATCTTTTCATGTCCTAAATCATCATCTTTAATAAATACTGGATGCCGCGCGTGCGGTTGGATTGCACGATGTACCATAATAGGTAAACTCCAGATCCTCTGGAAAGCTTCAGTTGCTCATTTCCTAACCTTTCTTTGTAAACTCTTATAAGCATTTAAACTTATAAACTTTCAACATTTTTTTTTGAGTTAATTGGTATGGACATTATCAGTCGACCCATTGTATATCCCTACTGTTCCCCACACATTTACCTGCACACTGCTGGGGGGGAGAGACAGTTCGATATCCCCCATTCTACTGGGTCGATTGCAAAATTCAAACTGCATTTTTCATGTCTCGAAAGCGAGGCTTAGAATATATCTTAGATTTATATATAGCTTTGTTCTACTATAGGTATTTTGACACAAAATCGAACTTTTTCTGAAATAACATACCGATTTTTTTCCATATTTCGATTCTACGACTCGGATTATGCCTAGATATTAAATTTTGTAATTTCTGGTGCGAAATTTACGGAGAAATTCAAAAATTTATCTTGTCTCATTTTTTTTCAGTTCATTTTTTTTTCACTCAGCTAACTTCTTAAAATATGGCAACCAATTTTTCTTTCCTTTCCATTATGCTAGAGCCGCAAAAAAGGCACCTCGTTCCTACCATTTTCATTGTGGATGAGCGGGAAAAAGTCACGTCATTCCTACTTTCAAATAATTTTAACAAAGTGTCTAAACCACATTTGATGTTTTATCGCTTTCAACGAATATGCCAAATTTCAAAACGCGCCAATATATAAATTCATCGGAATTTTTGAATAAAAAACTATAATTTTTTGCAGGTATGCTTAGAAATACGTCTACATTAAGACGATGATAAAGTTTTATAGATTATAATTCAAACTTTTTTTTGAAAATTTTATTAAAAAAATATTTAAAAATACAATTTTAAAAATAAATCATAAAAAATGCTTGAATTTTATTTGGAATGAACCTGAATTTCGAAACGTGAAAGGAAGAAGCAAATAATTTTAATAAGAAAAGAGAGATTAATAAATATATACCAAACTCAATCAACATTGAGGAGCCAAATTTTTGAGACTCATTTTTTAAAAACTACTCGTGCGATTTTTTACAAAACTTGGCACTTTGGCGCAATTTGAGTCGTAGAATCGAAATTTGGAAAAAAAATTGGCATGTCATTGCAGGAAAAGTCCGATTTTGTGTCAAATACCTATATTAGAACATATCCTAAGTCTAGTACATATCCTAAGTCGCGCTTCCGAGACATGAAACACGCAAGTTGAATTCCGTTAATCGGCCCAGTGGAACAGGAGATATGGAATTGTCCCCCCTTTTTTTTGCTCAGTGTACCTATATTTTTTTTTTTTTATTTTTTTTTTTATCGAAGTTGAAAGTGGTAGGGGATAAGTAGATAAGCAACATTGCAAAATCTGATCAAATTAATCACTGAAGGTCCTCCTGTAACTGAATGTATTAAATAGTTGAACACTGGTAGTTCAAATCAAGTTCGAATACCGTTCATTTAGTTAGCTGCATGTTTTTTCGTGTTTTCTGTACCTATAACCTTAGACAATAACGAGACAATTTTCTATGAAGCATTCCTATCTTGTCAAATAGACCACATTCGCTGAGCTTTCATTAAATCGATCAATTAACTAGGCAATCAAATTAGGTCAAATTATGAGAGTTTAATCGTCAAACAGCGAATATCCTGTGCCAGTTGATGTTGCGGTTACTTGAAATGTTAAAGACACTTTTTTCCAGTAGAAGAGCTACTGAATTTTAACTCCTGTTAGAAATTAGATTTTTATAAGGTGAGTGTATGGAAAGATTTTGGGATCCATGGGAAGAAGAAGTAAAATTTCCGTTCAAAATATTAAATAGCTTTCTCTATTCTTTTTATTTGTACACGACTTATGAAATAGATGGAATAATAAATGGAATATGTTTCCTTTTAATCCGAGCGTGTAAAAAATTAAACAACATAAATAGATAATCGCTCTACAAAAATTACCTTTCATATTCACTATTTACATTAGTTATCCAAGCATTCGAACAAAAGCTGAAAGCAGCAGATTATTACTTCTTTTATATACAGTAAATTAATTACATAGATCGTCTGCTACAGCGGAACATATTGATTAAAATTGACTCTTTCAGTATTGAGCCAATCAAATGATTTTGCATGCTTTCGAAAGGAGCAGTTTCAATTGTGAAAGTGACTTCAATTATATGGGGGTCATCGAACTTAACGAAGAAATGTGTCTCTAGGGCGAAAAAAGGCATTTAAAATGTAACGTTTTGCATAAAGAATGAGGTCGAACACACCGGAACAAACCATAAATTATTTTTCATGTCTGCAATGGAAGTGTTTTCAAAACGCTCAATTGAAAACTTTGGTAATGGGTGTGTCTTATATAAAAACAGAGTCTTCGTACTTACAGGTGCATGCTGACGAACAGGCCTGGCTGCTTGTGCTGGATATTGTTGTACCTGTTGATGTCCACCGTAGGATTGTGCCTGGGGGGGTTGGTAAGCTTGCTGCTGATGGGGTTGGGGCTGTTGGTGAGGCTGGCGATAAGCTGCGGCCCCGCCATAGTTGCCATCATAGGGAGCACCATAACTGGCTTGTCGTTTTTTCTAAAGAAAATAATATATAAATTATATACTTGCAGTTTAGTGAATCTTAAAGTTGAGTAGTATTCTGCAATTTAACGAAAATTTTGGTTTACGTATTGTAAAGTATATATTCATTAAAAAATTACTCCTATATAAATTCGAAATACCCCACATAGCACAAAAACATCCTTGGGATATCCTAAGGATGTTGCTCGCGGGATATGCGCACATCCTCAGGACATCCCGGAATGCATATTTCACAAGTGCACATCAGCGTAGCCACTGAGGGAGGGGTTTCGAAAAATGGACCAATGGGCTTCTGTTGCTCTTTTGACGCTAAATCTTCATGCATGTGAGCATACGTTGTTTATGTTTTAATTTGTATTTGTTTTCCAATTATAAATGTACCGCGTAATAGTAGAAAATCTCGTAGTACTTTCGTTTTATGAGTTTAATTAATTGCTGACATTTCACTTTCGCGATTTTTATCACACATTATTATTTGGATTGATGTTTACGGAATATTATATGGCTCTTTACATTAAGAAAAAGACTCACGATACAATTAGCCTCGAATTAGCATTTACTAAACATGTGGGTTAACAGAATTCAAGTGTATGTTTCTTTAATTGAGCTGAGAAGGTGAAAGGTTTGCTGAGTATTTTTTTTTTTTTTTTTTTTTTTTTTTTTTTTTTTTTTTTTTTTTTGTGTAGACGTATATTTAAGATGAGGCAGTTTTTAAATGTGAAATTTAACACACTAAATAAATACAAGGCAAATTATACGTTCGCTTTGAATAAAATTCTGCATTGGACTATATAGAAAATTTTTTTTTTATAGAGATTGCAATAAAAGTGCTGACTTCTATTTACATATAATTGGTTTAAATATTTTTCTCATATCATAGTTATGTAAAGATAGCATTGGGATCAGATGTTCATCACATATTTCTTTCTTCATCTTATTATCTTTTTTAGTAATTTTCACATGGATATTTTGGAGTGCCGAAAGTGTTTTTATTTATTTAAATTCTTTCAACCAGATAGGAAATCTTCACAATTGTTTTATTTGATCTAAATTTGCAATTAAGACTTTCAGAAGAAATCGGACGTTGCTTTATTATTTGTACAGAAAATTGCGTGAAAAATATTTTCAACCATTTTGTTTAAATCTTAAAGCACGCGAAAGGTCATGTTACATGACAGAAATATTACTGTATGCCAATTGGTCCAGCCTAGAAGCCACTCCCTCGGTGGCTACACAGATGTGCACTTGTGAAATATGCCCCCGGAATATCCTCCGAACCTCCTAAACACATCCTCCCGATTGCTTAATGTCACATCCCAGTATATCCTCAGAACATCCTAACAAAATCCCATTGATAGCGTACGGGATGTTATTAGGATCTGAACTCACTGCATCCTCAGGACATCCCGGGATATCCACTAACCTCCTAAACATATCCCATTATATCCTCATTACTTATATTTATATAATTTTAACAGTGCAAGGAAAAAGGATTTAAGAAAATAAATATCAAAGGTAGAAAATATACTTTAAGGATAGCGTATTATGTACTATGTTCTTTATCATAGTTTCTGTATGCGCATTTTTATGTTAATGGTTACTAGGTAATCAGAAATCAACTTTAATAAAAAGTTTAAGTATTTTCTTCAGACTATTCGTTATGCAAAGATATGGCTAAAAATTATGCAATTTTCCTGATAATACATATGCCCCCTCCCCTGTTTCATTATGATCAAAGTAATTACGTTTTTACAGTTGTTACTATCACTATCTGCAAAATAATTTACGTTTTAAATATGTGTACATAGTAAAAAAGGAAAATTATTATTAACTCGTTGAGCGGCAAGAAAAGGCAATTAACCTTTTCAGCAAAACTCTTGTTTTATTTATTTACTATATGAGGTGTTAGCAATAATTAGCATAACAATTGATTTTCAGCAAAGACTATGTCTTTATAACAAATATTCATCATGTCGGCCGTCATTCATCAACAGTGCCTGTAGTCGAGGGACAATGCTGTAAACAGCACTGTACAGCATATCTGTAGGTCAGTTTGAATGCCTAATATGCAACAGACCACATAACATATCTGTAGGTATGGTGAGAAACTGCCTTTGGATGTTGTCTTATAGCATTCTTAATGAGATCGAACAATCGCGATAGACTTGCGATTCAGGTATCCCCACAACCAATAATTCAAGGAATTTTGTGTATGGTTTACAGTACACGCAGCATTCACTTCTTCATGTATTTCATTGTTACGAATACATTAAGGTGTATTCATATTTGCCGTAAAAATATTTTGTGAATGAACTTTTGTCTTAGCATGAAAAGAAATTATTCAACTTACTCGGTCATCTGCTGTTGCCAGACCTGGGAAAAGAAATAAAATATGATTTATAAAAGATTATAGATATCATAGTTAGCAAACTTTTCAGAAAAAGGAAAAAAAAAATTGAAATAAAAATTTGTACACTTAAACATTTATCTGCTGTACTTACCTATAAAAAGAATGACCAAAAATAGCTGTTTAATCGAGCCCATATTTGGTTTAGAATTCTCTAAAATCGAAAAGAAATTTTTATTATTATTTTTTTTTAAAAAAACAATGCATTAAAAATAGTTTATTTTCATTTTCTAATTCATAACAATTTTAAAAGCCAATTATTTGTTGAGCTTTTTCAGTCATGCAAAACTAATTACATATACTGATTGAAAAGTGAACTGAAGTGTAGCGTCTTCAAGATAAGACCTTCTGTTTCGTGTTTTTCTTCTTATTTCGTAAACATTTTTATCGTTTTATATTTTACACTTTAAACAGCAGTTTCATCCCAGTCTTTTAATATTTGACACTGAAAAAGTGATTCGATGCATATTAAGGTAACAAAAGAAAACGGAGAAAGATTAAGAAAGAATTTGATTTGTCAAGTCTTTCGAAGTGTAACGGAATTGACGAAGCAGAAAATTATTTTTTTAGGCTTCAGACCATTTAGGGCAATTCTTAAATTCACACAGGTTCTTTAATTATCTTACTTTGGAGTCAGAGCAAATAAACTAAAATGAATTCTTTAAAACTGCCGCCTTTTGTCCAAAGAATGGATAATTTAGCTGGAAATAGATAATTTTAGAGTAATTATTACTACGTAGGCGGTATCACAGCCTTCCAAGAAATCCTGTTTTCAAAGGAATGTTAAAAAAGCAACGCTAGAAATCCCTTATTTTTTTTTAAATACAAGATTGCATGGTATAATGAATTTGAAATCCATTCTAGATAATTGTTTTTCTTCGAATAGAAGTAACCGGCAGACTGCATTAAAAAGAAATGAAAACAATACAATATGGAATGTGTGACACGAATTGTAATTCTGTGATATGAGTTGTCGTAACTTAGTTTTAAAAAATGACCTAATGATATATCTGATGGAGTATGACTTTCGTTGCTAATGGCCAACAACTAAAAAAAAGCGCTTGCAAATCGTTGAAACAGAGTAATTTAAACATATATTAACATAATAATTGACGTACGTTAAGCCTAAAAGTGACAAATTAGTATCTGAACACTAGTCTTATCTATTGCATTGTCAGTTTAATGTATAAATCATTTTTATCAAATAGTTTAGTTTTGACGTTAGGTATGACCTTTAACTGCATGTGTAAAATTTTAGACTATTACGTCACTTTACACTTTACATTACGTTTCTAATGTCCGTCCTTCTTATCAAGTGTTGCCAATGAGTGAAATATAAATATTTTATTTACCCCCTGGCTCAGAGTCAACTCATTCATCTCCATCTTACCCGATTTTTAAACTAACAGCATAAAATGCAACTGAAATAACAATGTAGGAGCGTCATCCATTGAAACACTTTGCCATTAATATCCATTTTGTATTTCTCACAATACATTTAAGCTCGAATCGCGCGACTTTTAAATCACCCTGTATTTTTACTACCTTGTCCGAAGTAAATAATGTTGTAATTGGCAAAAAATTTCTGGTATCATGTTTCAATGGAAATACCAATTTTGCGATGACTTTTTTTACCTGACATCTGTACGTACGGACAGAGTAAAGGACATTTGTTTACCATTACGTATAGCAAAATGGATTCGGTAAGAATTTTTTCATGGCGTCCTTCCATGACGGTTTTCATGCTACGTACGTAAGTATGCATGTATGTACGTATAAATGTCGCACAATTCAAAAACCATTAGCCGTAGAACGGTGATATTTTGTACATGGGACTGCTATAACTTCTAGTTGTGCACCTCCCTTTTTTATTGCAATCGGCAGCACCAAACATACACATACACATACACATATTTATACTTTCTCAAAAGATTTATACTCGTTATTAAAAAATTAAATTATAAGAAGTTTTACTCTCGTATGACAAAAATTCACACGGATATTTCATTTCAAAATTTGCAGTTTTTGATGTCAATTTCAGCTTGCCTTCAGAGATGGGTAATTAAGTTAGAATTATTGGAAGAAATAAGTTTAAATGAAGTGCAGCAAAAACTGTGTTTAATTTAATAGTCCGTAAAAACAAGTCATGTGGTGTCCACATCAGATCGAATTCTCTGTTTAAGAATGGTTATCTATTTTTAGACCAAAGGGATTTGAGTCCCGAAGGATTATTACTTTCGTTTTGGCATTCTGCGTCTGACTCCTGTAAATGTCGGTTCATTTTTCAAAATGTTGTCGCAACAGTCTTGCATTTTATTTGAAGAAATTAAATAATGAAAAATCTGCATAAATGTATGTCTATTTCTCGCATTGTGATAAAACAACGGGTACATAGAGCCATCCAATTTTGAATGACGTAATCCTACTGCGAATATGGGCATCTGCAAGCCCAAATTTGAAATTTGGAATTTGCTTTATTATCGATTTCATATTTTGTAAAACTTTAACGAATTTTTGAGTAACAAACTCAACGATTTAAAAGCGAGCAATGGCAACACTCTACGGGGGGCGGGAACCTTTTTATCTCCAGCGCGTCGAACTGTGTATCGGAAATTCTAAAGATATGCTTATTTTAAAAATATTTTGCGACATTAAAAATGACAAATTTGTATCTGAAGACTAGTCTAGTTAGATCTATTGCTATTGATTGATTAGATCTATTGCTATTGAACTAAATTTTATGGTATAAGTTCAAAAAACATGATATTTAATAAGTAAAGGTAACACACAAAACGTTAAAAAAAACGCACCTTTGGACGTAATTTAAAATCTGAAACATTTAAAATTTTCTTTATTGAGTGTTTTTTTTTTCTGAAAATGTTTTTAATAATGAATTTGTATATAGACATTTTTTTTCGAAGCTAGGAAATATGAAATTTCAATTATGTCATCATCAGGAATCGAATTATGAGTGTTCTAACTTCTAGCGGACATGATTTCCAAAAGACTATAATAATTACTTATAAATTAATAAAATGCAATAAAAATTATATTCACATATAATACAGACATGATTCATTTAGCAAAATTCCGTATAGAATTTTCATATGCCGCATTTTAAGCCCTTATTTGTAGTTAAGTTAACGTAATTTATGTTAAAATCTTCTGAAGTTTTGCTGTATCTAGAAGCTTGTATAAAAGTTCTGTAGACCCTACTGGACTGATAGCGAATTATCGCTGAGTTTGACAAAATAGTCGGACGAAGGTTAAAGTAACTTCTTTATTTAAGATTAAATTGAACAGAAAGGCACATTTTGTGATACAAACGAACTTACGTGACCTTGTGGGTATTTAAATGAACAATACGGGAAATTAGATTTCAATGTAGATAAAGTAGTCGGAGACTACTCATAAAATTTTTTACTTAGTTTCAAGATATTTACCGGCGCGTATTTTAAAACGTCGGCCAACAGGTCGCTGAAGCCGGAATACCGTTTATGCAGAACTGGCAGTAAAGGCAGCTGCCAGAAGCTCTCCTCTTTAACATTCAAAACACTCAGCTTAAATAAAAAAATTATAAAAAAAAAAAAAAAAAAAAAAAAAAAAAAAAAAAAAAAAACCCTGGAAGGTAGATTTTAAATACGTCAAAAGGAGCTTCTTTTTTTTACATTTTGTGTTATCTTTATTTATTAAATATCATGTTCTTCGCACTTGAACCATAAAATTCAGCTGAAGAGCAATATCGCAAAATAATTTTAAAATGAGCCTATCTTTAGAATTTCCGATACACAGTCTCGCGTGCTGGAGATAAAAATGTTTTATTCTGTACAACGTTGCGACTGGAATCCTTGAGTTTGTTAATCCTTGAGTTTGTTAATCGTTTTACAAAATATGAAATCGATAATAAAACAAATTCCAAATTTGGGCTTCCAGAGATGCCCATATTCGCAGTAGGATTAAGTCATTCAAAATTGGATGGCTCTAGGTACCGTTGTTTTATCACAATGCGAGAAACATACATACATTTATGCAGAATCTTCATTATTTAACTTCTTTAAATATAATACAGGGTGATAATGTTTGGTGGCAACAATTTGAAAAGTGAAACAACGCTTATAGTGAATCAATGCAAAATGCCAAAGTGAAATTAATAGTCCTTCTAGGCAAATTGTCCGTTTGGACAAAAATCATTAAATTCGTATTCTGGAGAATACTACGGAAAGGAGAAGTTAAAATAAAGGTTTAAATAAATCATAATAATTAGAATAATTAGTTAATAAACATAAAATACCTTACAAACTAGCTAAAATTCATTTCTCATTTGTTGCGGAAGAATTGTAATAAAATCTGATTTAGTCAAAAAGAATTCTTAATTTCGAGAAACTATGTCACAAACCCGTCTTCCCCACGGAGTAAAAGTACTCTGCATTCTTTCTCTGGAAATGTGTATTTAAATGATATAGAAAGAATTAATAGGCAATTGTACTGCTGCCTATTGAAAAATATTTAATTTATTATTATCATTGTTTATTTTTATTTCTACTATGTAGTGAAGTGAGCGTAATCTATTGAAAAAATTTTCCTTTATTAACACCTTGATGTGAGGTGCTAACCTCGGAGATTTTGTTACTCGAATTTCTTGTTCTCGGAAAATAGAAATTACGCTACTGTACTTAGAAACATTTGTTTTGAGCCTTGCGATTGACGAAGAAAATTCTGCGTCTTAAATCATTAACTCTTTTTTTCCCCCCCCCTTTTTTTTTCTTTTTTTTTTTTTTTTTTTTTTTTTCTTTTTTTTTTTTTTAAGACAAAGACAAAAGTCTCCATATGATATTAATTTATGGTTTGAGAAAATCACAAGAGACTTTATTTTTTTTCCCTTTTTTTCTTTTTCTTTTTTTTTTTCTTTTTTTTTTTAAGACAAAAGTCTCCCATGATATTAATTTGGTTTCATAAACTTTATTTTTTTTTTTTTTTTTTTTTTTTTTCTTTTTTTTTTTTTGATATTAATTTATGGTTTTATTTTTTTTTTTTTTTTTTTTTTTTTTTTTTTTTTCCTTTTTTTTTTTTGTTTTTTTTTTTTTTTTTTTTTTTTTTTTTTTTTTTTTTTTTTTTTTTTTTTTGTTTTTTTTTTTTTTTTTTTTTTTAGTCCCC